AGCAACGTAACATGAACACACACTGCTCATTCAACAGGGAAGGTTAACAGCTGAATATTTAATATCCTAGTAGTTTGTGTGAGAAGTCTGAGGTTTTTGCTGGTCAAAAGAAAACACCAAAATACTCACATTTTACTACTAATAAAGATGAGAATTGATTTTTTTGGTAAAGAATCCTGACCTTGACTCCTTAGCCTACCTTTTCTTCTAGTTCAATGCAGTGGCTACTAAAACTAGAGAGGGTATTGTGAGTATGAGAAACTATAGAAATTCTAGATTAGGCAGTTATATATAACAGAAAGTTTTGGCTTACACCCAAACACAAGCGTTAAAAAGGAAAGACCTAATCTCAGCCTGAAGATACCACATATCTCTTCTATTAAATGGCTGTGGTAGCTTGGACTAAAGAACCTTGCCCTTAGCCAGGATGCTATAGCATAGTGGTCTACTAAGTGGGGTCGCAAGGGATGACCTCCAGGTAGCTGTGGCATGACCCCAAGGGGGGGTTATGATCAAACAGTCTGAGTTGGAATATAGGTCATAACCTGCTCTCCTGTGATAGCCAATCTTGGGCTTGTTTCCAATGTCCCATATTTATCTTTAGCTCCCAACACTCCCTTACTCCATCGCTGCACTCTCATATGCATGTTCTCAATCTCTTCCTATCTGAGACTCATGTTGGCTCCTCAGAGACCACTGTTGTGGCACCTACAACAGGCAAGTACCACTGGGAAACTAGGAAATTCCTCTTCCCCTCCTCAGATGTTGCCTTTGTGGCTATGACAGGCACCCATCAGAGAAAGAGCTACATCACAGACCTCTTTATATTATCTTCCCCCACCCAATCTACCTCTCCTCCAAATATCCCTATTTCTGTTAAGGCTACCCACCATCTTTCCCGTCACACGAGTTTGCAGCCTTGGTGTTACTGTGCACATCTCTCTCCTTCATGCCACGTATGCGATTCATTGCCAAATCTTGTTTCGTTTTCTAGAATGTCCTCTTATCCAGTTTTCTTGTCCTCTCACATAGCCAGGCCCTTGGCACCTCTTGCCTGCATTAAGGCTATCCAGCCCTCTGACTGGTCTCCCAGCCTCAAGTATCTTCTCTAATATAGCTAATGCTGACAACATCTTTCTCACGTCTGCCAGAATGATTTTCCAGAAATGCAGGTCTGACTAAGCCCCTGCCATATTGAAAAACCATGAACTCTACTGACTGTAGGATCAACTATCATTTTATGTTGGTCTCATCTTTTTATATTTTCAAGTAAGTTTGATTATGCACACAATCATTAGTGGAAGAGTACATGTATATAATGACAAATACATATTGGGGGTAGATTCTCATTTATTTTTTACATGACCAAAAAAGTTTGGAGACCACTGTCCTAGCAAAATTAATTGAGATGGACAGATGGTCCTGAAAGATGATCCCTGAAGACAGCAGCATGGAGCACAGCAGAGCCACACAAGGACACTCCAATGGAGCTCTGTGACCAGTGAGGACAGAAGACACAAGCGATTGCTGGAGTGAAACTGCTTTCACATAGGACAGAGGGAAATGCTTTGAACACCTGAAGCCCCTAGGCCTAGTCCTCATAAACAATCCCATTCAGAAGGACAGATCTGTTTTCTATTGACTAGTGGGAGCAAGCTACATAAAGGAAAATGTTTAAAGAATCTTAGGAATTAAGGGATATTGGACAAGATAATACAGGATTCCCCTTTCTGAGGTGCGTGGGTCCTATGTTGGCTAGGGTCTCACAAGAAGCTCCTTTTGGAACTGGGCTTATCTTCCTGCTCCTGCTGCTGCTGCTGCTGCTGCTGCTGCTGCTGCTGCGATGGGTACACCCAAGATCTGGAAGAGGCCACGTTTATGTGCCCTAGAGGACTGCTACCTACCCTGCCAAAGGGAGAGTCTGGAAAGCTGCCTGGACAACTCCTCTGTTATAAACTGAGGAGAAATGTTAGGAATGCTTCAACCAATCATAATTGAGGAGCTCTAGGATCAGTCACTTTATGGCAACCAATCTGTCCTGTGGAAAATCCATCACTCCCCAGAAGAAGGTGGCTCCTTTTGGCCAAGATCTGATTGATAGCACTAGGACTTTAGATCTAGCCGCCCAACTGAGAGCAAGTGCTTCATAAAATGGACTCAGTGTCTGCTGTTTTATATCAGGCTTCCTATAGAGAGCTTTGGTCCCATTAACTGCACTATATACCACTGAGCTGTGGAGCGCTGTTCTTTGGAAATTCAGTTTATAACTATAAACCACGATTGACAAGTCTATTACTGCTGGTTACAAACTAGTGAAATATTGTGTTTTTTCATTGCTCACCAAAACATTTTTTCACAGAGGAATCCAAATATATATCCTTTCAGAATAAAATCATTTTAGGGTGTAATAACTTTTATTATTATTATTTTTTTACCAGAGAAAGTACTTAATGTAAACTTTGAATCAGTTAAAAGTTTAGAAACGGACATATTCCCAAACTTTTCAGAGATATATATATATATATATATATATATATATATATATATATTAATAAATGGCTGAAGCTCATTTATTCCAGCACAGAAGGTGATGGGAAAAGAGGGAATCTCCTCAAATCATTACATTTACAAGGCAAATGGTAAGCAATCAATCCATTTGGATACCAGAGAAGCTGTATTAACAGAAATCAGATGATGGTTTACTTTTTAGGACATGGGGGCATGTGTCTAGGTCTCTGATTTCCGGGATAAGGGGAAACTCCCAGTGTGAAATATCCTTGCAGCAGTGGTGAAGCTTAGCAACTATCAGCAAGCCACTTAATTGATTGGTGACTCCAGGCAACTGTCAAAGACTATCTGATACGTGTGTGTGTGTGTGTGTGTGTGTGTGTGTGTGTGTGTGTGTGTGTG